CTGCCCTTTTTATATTGGTGATGATGATAATGATTCGGATGATGATTATGATGATAATGATGATGATGATGATGATGATGATGATGATGATGATGACTAATCCAGTTTTAGACGCCTGATTTCCATTGAACTATCGATTGTGGATATTCCGTAGGTAACTCATTTTCCTGCTGAACATGGAATGATACTTTAGCAGTAGGCAGTTCACCACCTGCTATGCGCATGAATCCAGGCAGATTTTTACTCTGTATAATACAGATTAAATGACCGATTGTTACTCAGACTTGTCCAAGGTTTGTGCTTTTTATGCAGATGCACTTTCTTACATTCGCGGTAGTAAAATCAGCATTAACGTGAATCGTTCTTTGAATGCTTGAGTAAGATTTGATCTGTTTGGTTCTGCAGCAAACCCGAACCGGCAATCATTTACAGGCTGAATCATTATGCATACACAGAAGGGGAACACAGACGATCAAGTGCATCGGAAGTCTGCAAACGTGCTACGAAAGCTTAGTATTGACCTGCCAGTTACTCAGTTCAGACTCAGAGTTATAAGTCACTTAGATTTGTGTGGAAGTGTTACCAGGCTTGGCACATTATTGAGGTCATTTGCTTTGGTGACAACTCGACATAAATGACCTCTCTAATCCACAATGTCAATATCTTTATACATTCACTCGGTTCGGTCTATGAGCTCGGACGGGTCTTCACTCTCACCCCACCCCGCACCGCACCACACCGCCCCAAACGTTTTCTTCATGCTATAAACGTTCCTTTATGAGTAGTGGTTGGTTAATATAATCCAGGTGAGCGTGCACACACACAGGTATTTGGTCTCACAAAGTCATTTTGCTTGGAAGATTACGAGCTAGCAACAACAGTTACGACATTTTGCTTTATTCCACTGTATGTGTGCGCGCGCACCATACAGACCAGATGAGGTACTGTTGTTCGTGTCGTCATTCGTGAGGTCATTTGACACCCACCTACCCACCCACCTCGCCAATCTGTATGATGTTGTGTTCGAGTTGACCAGTCCCTAGGCCTAGGTGCTAAAGATGTGGTAACGAGACTGCGCTTGTCATCGTTTGTCTGAAAGCACCGTCCGTCACCCGACTCGTGCTATTGATGACCATATGTGCATAAATAAACACACTTATCTATATGTACGCGTACACTCCATGATCAGTTTAGTAAACGAAGATTGAACTATCTACCCATGAACATCACAACTTCCCTACTTGCTTGCCATACAAATACAATTATCTAACCATTCCAGAAAGTGACACAGACGCAAATGAAAGGGGAGTGTAAGGGAAGTTGGTAGTAAATGGCATGTCAGCAATACACACGTACTGGAGGCGTACTGGACAATAAGGTCTCCGGGCACTCATACAATACACACGCCTGACAACAATGCCATCAGATTTGGACCGATGGGAGTGTGTGTGCAAGGCTTTTGCTGTCAGCATTTAAGAGACCCTAATGCATCGCGACCCCATTCGGTCGTGATGATCCGGACCGTAATCAGACTACTTCCCCTCCCCTCCCCCCCACACGCACACACATCTTCGTTTCACACTATTCGCCCTCCCTCTCTCTCGGTCGGTATGCGAGAATAGTTTCTGTCTCCCAGTTACATTCAGTACAACACGCCTCTTCATCATCATCATCGTCATCATCATCACCACCACTATCACCCAGTCGTATGTTACTCTTGGTGGTGGCCTGGCTCCTTTTCTTTCTCTTCTTCCGACATAGTGATTAAGCAACTCGTAATGGGTTCGATAGTATTTCTAGTTATGATGAAACAAGATGATGATAGATGGATGTATGTGTGAACGAGGCCGAATGTTTCAGCCGAGTCGGATGATCAATACCCAGGCAATGTCAGAATAAGAATGAGACGCTGAAAAATGTTTCACATTTTTCATCCCTCTTTTTTATGGGGGGAGGGGTAGTGAATTGTGACTTTGAGGGTGGTCTATGTGACTGGCACGAGCAAGATTGCAAATTCCATTTTTCATTTATTTCCAATGCTTGAGAACCAGAGATGTACAATCGTGAAGGAAAGGAGTCTCTGTGTGTGTATCTGTGTTTGCTGATGGGGAGTGGAGCTGAGCGGATTGGTAGGTATACAGAGCTATATTACGGAGCTATTCACTCCTACCACTAGTAGGAATTACTATTTCGTTTCGGCCTCAATGCTTCAGAGATCCATAGAGCCGTGATATCGAAACGAAGGTGAGTGTTAAGATCGCATAACTATTTCACCTCTTTGTATCCTTTAATATAATTCGTCTGTTCCAGTGCCTTTTCGTTGAAAGGAAGGAACCTGGCCACATCATTTTAATTCTTGGGGAACTGAAAATAAAACCAATATGTTCCGGACGTTATATTTATGTGTTCGACTGCTGGGATATGGGACCAAATTTGTAGTGTGTGCATCTCCATCTTTCCGACGGAAAGAAGAGTTATATATCAATGGCAATGATCAGGAAACTGTGTTAATGAAAGAGCGGATGGATGTCTACTCGGATATTTTAAATTTTAAATATAACTTCTGCTGGACCAAGAATGGCTAAGTACGAAAGAACGAGCAAAACATGTCCCCACGTGCAGCTTAGAAGCAATGTTTATGGGTGGCCGTTGAACGAAGCACCCTCTGTTCGCAGGTATCAACCTAGTCCGTGGTTATATGCACGCAGTACCAGGGTTTCGAGATCGTAGAGTTCGTTCCAATAAAACCCGCAACACTGAACAGGAATGTAATGTTTCAAACAGTAAAAGGAACAATGGTCTATGATACTTTGCGGGCTTCAGGCATTCCCGACCAGTCGCACAATAGAACATAAATGCTGCGTGGAGCCGTTGAGTGGTGATATGGATCGGTTTACCGCCGTACTGCTTCCATAATGCAGTCAACGGAGGGCGACCTACGCAGATTGATTCTTTCCAGGCAAACATACCATGACACGCTATTTCGGATCACCATTCATAGTGCTTGTTTATTGTACCTGTTAACCCTCGCGCGTAAAACTGGTAGCCATTCGTCTGATGACTAAGAAACGCTACAACGCTACAACTTTAAGCATTATTTTCCTTATCGGACATTCGTGCTTCTGACCTTCCTATATATTTGATACCTTCGATTTTCAAATAATCGAATCCACTTTCCTTGACGTTTTGCTATTAACACGATCCACATGTGTTCCCTCATTTCGGTGCTTTAACAAGTTTGCACACCAGGAGTTCTTACCTTGTATGATCTTTCCAAGTCTGTTGATGCTTCCAGCATCTCTTCCCTGCGATTCCCCCCCCCTCCCGCCCACCAACTACCCATTCTCCCCCAGTGAGACAATCCTGGACACGTTGAGATGATCACTAGCGAGCGGTGATAGTGTCCGATTATAGAAAATATCTATCTACAAAACGAGCAATTTCAACGTCTTCCACTGATCACTTGGTTACCGATATGTCAATTATCCGCGAGCTTACCATATCATTCTGTATTGCACACAGCGACTATATGATGCGCAGCCTCGGTCTTTACACCTTGTATTCTCTGTAGACTGATCGCTTAGCTCATGTACGTGTGTGTGCGCCCGTTCAGTACCGACAGGATTTAGTGTGAACCTCCGGACAAGCCCTTATAAAGTTCATTCAACACAAGCAAACCAATCCTTTGGGTCGAATTTCAGCACGCAAACCGATCAACAGGTGCCCAGAGATAATTGGCCATCTGGGCACACACACACACGTAAATGAAATTGCACGCCTGAAGAGACCCATAGGGATGAGACGAAAAACAGCCGGTCGGCAAAGAATTACTAACAAACCATCCATCATCACCATCTCCAGCACCACCACCACTGCCAGCACAGTGACTACTACTACCATCACCCATACTACTGTACAGAAATACATCGTTTCATTTTCGCGGCTTCATCCGGAGCCCAGTTGGACCGACCCCGGAATACGCACGTACAAGTGGATCCTGTAAGTACACACACAAACACACACACACCGGTTCAAATAGCGTGCAAGTGACATATGCGTTCTCGCAGTCTGGATGCGGCATATTCGTAGCGATTTATTTGTTCAGGTGTTGGAGCATTCTTTGCTGGGAGGCGGAAGAATAGAGGTCTGACTGAGCAACAGGCTGATCCTTGGAACTTTTAATCTTGCCCATATCAACATAAATGCAAACACCCGCACACATCTTGTTTCTTGGTCCTGTAAACT